CTGAGTCTGGAGTTGCATTGCTCATGGGCACCTGGTGGTACAAACACCGTCCGGAGGAGCTTTAGAAGACAGTCCTGTCAATGTAGTTCTGAAAACCCTGACACACATGGGGGCACCGAGGGTTGGGATTGAGAAGCGGATGGTAGAGAAAGGTGAAGGCAGAGGCAGGAGAAGTGGTGATGGTGGGCAAGTTTAGGGGGAAGTGGACGAGAGGGATCAGGTTCCAGTGAGGGGGGAGGAGAAGCAGGTTGCAGGTGAGTGTGGGATATGGGGTGGGAGTTGAGGGAATCCCCCCACCCCCATCTGTAGCTTCTCAGAACAGAGGAAGGGCTGTGTGGAGCAAGGCTGCAGGCCAGCAGGAATACCTGGTCATCAGTGAGGAGCAGCGGCGGTGTGCATCATGGGGGCCTTGTAGGCGGGTTTGAGATGTGATGGAAAGCCTGTGGAGTTTGGTGGCTGAGTCTGAGGATTCTGTGGTGTCTGTGAAGGGATCCAATGTGGAGGAGACTGAGAAAGTCTGACGAAAGCAGAGGGGCTCAGGGACTGGGGCCTATGGGGTGGGTGAGGGTAGAGCAAGACAGTCAGGATTTCATAAGGCAGCAGTAGCCATCAACCCTGGATTTGGAGGAGGTTTCTGGATGGCATAAAATGTTGGTTCTCAGCCATCAGTTGAAAGTTGGAGGTTTGACCCAACCTCGAGGTGCAGCAGAAGAAAGTCCTGGCAGCCTGGGTCCATAAAGATTACCACCTAGAACCCCATGGGGCAGTTCTACTCTGACACACACGTGGAATTGCCATGAGTTACAATACACTTGACAGCAATGGGTATGGCTTTTGGGGGAGGGATATGGGGGGCAGTCTGGGAAAGTATCTTCACGAGAAGAAAATCAAAAGACTGGGTGTTGAATGCCACCCACGTGGATGCTGGCCCGGTGGTCGGGACAATGGTGACAAAGGTGGAAGAAGGGATGTGCTTCGGGGCCCAGATGTTGGTGGTGTGGACCCAAATCCTGCAAAGGAGAGTAGGGTCCTGCCCAGGCAGAGGGGCTGAGTGTTAGGAAGAGCCCAGGGCGGAGTGTGTAGAAGCTGGAGGGTGTGAGGGTGTGAGGTGGGGAGGGGGCTTCTGAAAGCTGCATTGTCACAGGCACCGAAGAATGCAGCGAGCTCTCTTAGTAGCTACCCCAGACTCCTGGGACCAGGAAAGGTGTTGGGGGATGAGGTAGGAGTGTGTGTGTGGCAGCAGAATCGTCAGAAAATACCCAACACCCCAGTTCAGGCCTAGGTGAGCTCCCAGCCCCCCAAAGACTTCCTACAGCAGTCAGCATTGGAATATGAAGGGTCCCTGGTGTGCAGTGTGTTAAGTGTTGGTTGCTAACTGTAAGGTCTCAGGAGAAAGATGCGACTATCAGCTCCCGGGAAGATGAACATTCTCGGAACACTTGGACTCCAATATGAGTTGGAACAGACTTGATGGTGGTTTTTTGTCACAAAAGGTGAAGCACTTGGCTGCTAACAGAAAGGCTGGAGGTCTAAATATACCCAGAAGTGCTTCGGAAGAAAGACCTGGCTATCTTCTTCTGAAAGACCAGCCACTGAAAACAAAACAAAAGCGGGATCGGATCACTTGGAGTGAGGCTGCTGGCTTCTGGCAGATCCTGATGTTCAAGAGACTTTTTTTTTTTTTCTTTTCCTTTTTTATGCTAAAGGGGAGCAGCACTGAGGGAACAAAGTGTCTGTGTTTGTTGCCCTTAAAGGTTCAGGATCCACAGCCTGTGAGTGGCTGGGACGGGGCCTGGAGAGAACATCAAGGAAGCCCCATCTGCTTCCTGGGGCCACGTCTGCACCTGGCCGAGGCTGTCTGGGTCCGTGTTGGAAGAACAGCCACCTTCCAGCCCACACAGGCCTCTGTTTCTGGGCAGCATGCATGGATGAAGAGGTTCGCCTCGGGGACTCCCAGCTTCTACTGCAAGGCTGTCCACAGTGAGGTGAGAGTGGGTCTCCAGCTCGCACACTCAGGCTTTTGCACAGTGCTTGGTGCAGGTCTGGAGTTCAATAAATACTTGGATCGCCTTCCTGCCCTCTCTGCTGTATTCCTCCATCTCTTCTGGGCTCAGATGATCATCTCTGCCCCCACCCTTCCCAAGGTCCTGCTGACCTCGTTACTGCTCATGCGGTGCCCAGCACACGGTCCACTTTAGAAGGACTGAGGCAAGTTGGGAGTGGGTCTAAAGGCTTAGAGTGGTTGTGTGAGTGTGAAGGAGTGTGTGATGTGTGTGTATGTAATAGAGTACACAACTGTGT